CCTGGCTGGCTCAGTCAGTGTAGCACCAACTGTTGATTTTGGGATTGTGAGTTCAGACCCCATGTTTGGTGTAGAGAGTACTTAAAAATAAAACCCTAAAAAAAAAAAAAGATATTACACCTTTAATGTAATGAACTTTACAAAGCTTAATGGGAGGGGTGGCGCCTGGGTGGCTCAGTGGGTTAAGCTTCTGCCTTCAGCTCAGGTCATGATTTCAGGGTCCTGGGATCTGAGGCCCGCATTAGGGTCTCTGCTTGGCAGGGAGCCTGCTTCCCCGTCTCTCTCTCTGCCTGCCTCTTTGCCTACTTGTGATCTCTTTCTCAAATAAATATAAATACATACATATATATATACACACACCAAAATTTAATTTTGGTTCTGTGATCAAGTTAGAAAAATGGAACCATTATTTGAATTAACAGACTTCCTATTTAACATACCTGATGACACTGATGTAAAACTGATGCCCTTTTGCTGTTGGCAAGTTTTTTTTAATTAAATCAGCACATAAACAGCTTTGCTTTTTGTATGTGCATGATAATGTGATTTGAATCATTTGTCATTTGTCAGTGAATTAAATCACTTGATTTAAATGAAGTTGTGTTTTGCAGAGTGATGTTAAATGTACCGGTTGCAGCTGCTCGTGTTAAATTGTCGCCTTTGAAGTTGATGCTTCTTCAGCAGTTTTATTTCTTTTGGTTTTCATGTGATCAGTGATACCATTCTGGTCTTCACAGAGAATAGTAAATGTCGTTATTTTATGCAAATTACGTGTTCCATCATCAGCTTTCTTGGAATGAATTTGATTCTTAATTTTTCATTAAACCTGTACTTCCAGTTTTTAAATTCACTGCTGCACAAAGATATTACTAAACTGTAAAATGAATATAGTTAGAGATTTAGGCAATACAATGAAGACAAAATCACTGTAGCAAGAATGTTGAGAATATTCTGTATATGCTGTGTGACAGGACTGCAAAGCCTTTATTTGCCATGTGGGTTTCACTACACCCACCTTTTATGATGACTCCACCTGACTCCTTTGGACAGATCATGGTTAAGACCATAGTGTAACAAGTAGCTAATGGGGACGAGAGTGTCAACAGCTGCTCCCACTGCCATCTGAGATTGGATAGAATGAGTTGTCCTTAGCCATTATGAGCAAACTTTACGGGTGAGTATGTCATTTTATCAGGAGTTTCCCTCTATGATGCTCTTGAAGGGGGTAGGTGTTAGTTAAGAATAACACTGGCCGGGGCACCTGGATGGCTCAGTGGGTTAAGGCTTTTGCCTTCGGCTCAGGTCATGATCCCGGGGTCCTGGGATCAAGCCCCGAATTGGGCTCTGCTCGGCAGGGAGCCTGCTTCCTCCTCTCTCTGCCTGCCTCTGCCTGCTTGTGATTTCTGTCTGTCAGATAAATAAATAAAACCTTTAAAAAAAAAAAAAAAGAATAACACTGGTCATTCCCAATCATCTTTAAAATTAAAGTGCAGGGGTGCCTGGGTGGCTCAATGGGTTAAGCCTCTGCCTTCCGCTCAGGTCATGATCCCGGGGTCCTGGGATTGAGCCCCGCATCCAGCTCTCTGCTCAGCAGGGAGCCTGCTTCCCCCTTCCCGTCTGCCTGCCTCTCTGCCTAGTTGTGATCTCTCTGTCAAATAAATAAATAAAATCTTTAAATAAGTATACAAGTAAATAAATAAATAAAATTAAAGTGCGGACTGTTCACTGCACATACATTTCACCTCTTGCTAGAAAGGACTCAGACAGAAGCTGGAGTTAGAAACCAGAGAGCTACCAAATCTCTCTTGGCTTATTTTACTACAACTATTAGTAATACTACTTCTTTCTTGTAATTAAATAAAAATCTGTGACCATTGCTAGAATATACATTAGTGGCTAATAACTTCCTTAGGGAATTAGATCACATTTCATGTTATATGCTCTCATTTCATCATGTAATATTCCTCTACTGTACTTACACCTGACATTTATATATTGATTTTTGTAATTATTTGTTCATCATCTCCCTGCCCCACTAGACCAGAGACTGTGAGAAGAAGCACAATTGTTCCCCTCACATTGTATCCATGGCACCTTAGCACAGTGACTTGGACATAATAAAGACTCAAACATTTGTAGAATGAATGAAAAAGTGATTGAATGCACAGGACGGGAGTACCCTGTTATCAGTAAATGTGTTCCAGTTGATAACTAAACAGTGGAAAGCCCTTGGGACTTGGGGACAGTGTTCTTTTGCAGGTACCTCAAGCTCATATGGTATATTCTGAGAATACAGTAGCAATGTGTAATGATATTTAGTCAGAGGTGTAAATTTGACATACCTGTAAATGCTTGTAAAATAATCGATAGCACTTACTGGATGCTGTCCGTTGGTATGCTTAAGCATGTTTTATATGTTATTTAATCTTTACAGCAGTCTTACAAAGTAGGTATTACTACTATGCCCATTTTACATGTGAGTTTACTGAGGCATGGAGAAATGAAATGCCTTCCCCTGTGTCATAAAGCTGGTAAATGCATCAAAGAATAGAAATTTGATTACACCTTTCGGGGTTGTTTTTTTTTTTTTTTTTTTACACCTTTCAGTTTTATTTAAGTTACAGATATCTTGTCATTGACAATTTTAAGTATTAAACAGCCATACTAATAGTGACAAATAAAACATGCATCACACAAAACACAATACCAAGCAGTATAGGTATGTTCCAGATAGGTGCAGCACACACTTACATTATAGTGGTTGTGGGTCTTCTCATCTTCCCACTGTGCTATGCTCAATGTGTGATTACATCTCCGTTGTGTTTGCACGATGGCTGCTATATCTCTGGGCATAGCATCAGCTCATAGGAAGGAGAAAAGATGAAATGTCTCTTAAATGACTTCCTTAGAAGCCCCATTAGGTGACTTATGCTTCCATCAGATTGGTTAGAACTGAGTTACTGGTCACCGCTTGCTGCAGTGAATCTAGGAAGGTGAATATTGATGACTTTGGGGTATTTTTATCTTTTAGTTTCTTCCAATGTACCATAAAAAAAATCCTGGTATTAAGAAGTGTGTGACTGCAAAGGTTGAGCATCCTGTGCTATAGACACGAGAGAGCTTTTTTTAAGTTGGGGGTATTGTGGTTAGATTGTGCCTCAGGCATGCTCTGACGGCTATGTGGTAGATTGGGGATGACAGAAGGGGAGCAGGAAGAGACTGGTTAAGAGATCTTTGCAGTCATTTTAATAAGTGATCTTAGAAGCCCGAACCAGGGAAATGTAGAAAATAAAGGACACATTAAGTTTCCAAAAGTATTTAGGAGATCGTATGGCTAGGACTTGGTGGTTGATGAGCTCTGTGGAGACAGGAGAGTGAAGAGTCAAAGACGTCTCAGATTGCCGGCAGAAATGAATGAGTGGTGCTGCAAATGGAAACTAAAGGGGAGTAAAAAAGTTCAAATCGGTTGTCCCTTAGATGCAGTGGGTTTCAGGTATCTGGATTTTCTTCATGTGTAGATCTTTATTTATTGGGAAAGGATTAGGATAGACTTGTTATATCTTTTTTGTTTTATAAGATTTTATTTATTTATTTGACAGAGATCACAAGTAGGCAGAGAGGCAGGCAGAGACAGGAAGGGAAGCAGGCTCCCTGCTGAGCAGAGAGCCCCATGCGATGCGATGCGGGGGGGCGGGGGCTCCATCCCAGGACCCTGGGATCATGACCTGAGCTGAAGGCAGAGGCTTTAACCCATGGAGCTACCCAGGAGCCCCTATCTTTTTTTTTTTTTTTAAGATTTTTTTTAAAAAAGATTTTATTTATTTATTTGACAGAGAGCAATCACAAGTAGGCAGAGAGGCAGAGAGAGGGAAGCAGGCTCCCCGCTGAGCAGAGAGCCCGATGCGGGGCTCGATCCCAGGACTCTGGGATTATGACCTGAGCCAAAGGCAGAGGCTTTAACCCACTGAGCCATCCAGATGCCCTAGACTTGTTATATCTTATACATATTTTTTCTTGATAATATCCTTTGGACTTTTATTTACTTTCTATTCAGTTTCTAACATTTGTATAATAAATTATGTTAATATTCTCTTTTTTATATTTCTGGCTTTTGTGTCCTAATTAGAGGGCCTGGCCTGTCTTAAACCCAAATTATAGAAGTGTATACCTCTGTGGTTTAAATACTGACTTGTTCACGATTTTATTTTGGTGAATAGGATGAGGTAAAGGAAAGGAAGAGCATGTGCAGCTGTTAGAATATGATTGAACACAGTTACTATTACCAAAATGTGATATAAAACATTGATTTGGGGGCGTTGCAAAAAGGTAATTTTATTAAAGCATGGGGACAGGACCCGTGGGCAGAAAGAACTGCCCAAGTTTTCTTTTAAAAGTAGCTCCAGGCGCGGCTGGGTGGCTCAGTGGGTTAAAGCCTCTGCCTTCCGCTCAGGTGGTGATCCCAGGGTCCTGGGATCAAGCCCTGCATTGGGCTCTCTGCCCGGCAGGGAGCCTGCTTCCTCCTCTCTCTCTCTCTGCCTGCCTCTCTGCCTACTTGTGATCTCTGTCAAATAAGTAAAATCTTTAAAAATAATAAAAATTTTAAAAATAATAAAAATAGCTCCAGGGGCGCCTGGGTGGCTCAGTGGGTTAAGCTTCTGCCTTCGGCTCAGGTCATGATCTCAGGGTCCTGGGATTGAGCCCTATGTTGTGCTCTCTGTTTGGGCGGGGGTGGGGGAAGTGGGGTGGTGAGGGAGGTGGGGGGAGCCTGCTTCCCCCTTTCTCTCTGCCTGCCTTTCTGCCTACTTGTGATCTCTTTCTCTCTGTCAAATAAGTAAATTCTTAAAAAAAAAAAAAGTAGCTCCAACATTAGCCTTTTTTAAATGGTTTTCATATTTGGAGAAATACTCAACTGTTCATTTCCTCCAAGAAGCAAACACTGTCAAATTGTAAGTTTTTATTCTAAATCAAAATTAAAATACCCTTTCCGTGTATTCCCACAGCAGGAGGATGCATTAGCACAACAGGCCTTTGAAGAGGCTCGGAGAAGGACACGTGAATTTGAAGACAGAGACAGGTCTCATCGGGAGGAAATGGAGGTGAGAGGTTCACAGCTGCTGGCAGTAACTGGTTAGTACTTTACCCCAACCTCTCAGGCTCTCTTTGTCATGTTTGTGCATAATGTTTTTTATAAATAATTTAATTTTGTCTTTCATTTGTCAAAAGTTATACTGTTTTTGTGTTCATTAAATTAATTGCTATAAAGAGACTTAGTCTTAATTTTAAGATTATACATGAATTCATCATTTATTGGTCCTCATAAAAACGATTTACTGTCATGTGTATATTCTCTTAATTGATCCAAATCTTTCCTCATTTTTGTTTTATTTGTAAAAATTACTTTATAGATATTTTTAGAACATTATTAAAACTCTTTGGAAATAATATTACTTTACTTTTTTTATGAATGTCTTGATTTTATAAGTGTAATGTTTGACCATTTGTGTATTCTCTTTACTAGAGCAATATTTAATATTTTCGAACTACTCAAAGAAGGGAATTAACCTAAACCTTTATTTTTTTTTAAGATTTTATTTATTATTTGACAGAGACACAGCAAGAGAGGGAACACAAGCCGGGGAAGGGGGAGAAGCAGGGTTCCTGCTGAGCAGAGAGCCTGATGTGGGGCTGGATCCCAGAACTCTGGGATCATGACCTGAGCCAAAGGCAGACACTTAACGACTGAGCCACCCGGGCGCCCCAACCTAAACCATTTTTCTTTTAACTTTTTTATGGTACAGAGATAGAAATACTCACAAAAGAAATATGTAGCTTAATTATTGTAAAGCTAACATCCTGAAAACACCATGCAGATTAAAAAAAGTCAAACTTTGACAGCTACCCCTGAAGCCTCCTCCATGTGGGCATCGAATTATGACCTTCTCCCTCCCCTCGAAAGTACTCATTACCTCAGTTTTTGTACTGATCACTTCCTTGTGTCTTTTTAGTTTTATTACCCATGCCTCCCTCAGTCTTCAACACTGAAGTTTAGTCTTACCCAGTGTTTAAATTTGATAAGACTTTTAATTGACATGGATTTTTTCTCTATATAAAATTATACCCTGGGGCGCCTGGGTGGCTCAATGGGTTAAAGCCTCTGCCTTCGGCTCAGGTCATGATCCTGGGGTCCTGGGATTGAGCCCACATCGGGCTCTCTGCTCAGCAGGAAGCCTGCTTCCTCCTCTCTCTGCCTGCCTCTCTGCCTACTTGTGATCTCTCTCTGTCAAATAAGTAAATAAAAATCTTTAAAAAAATATAAATAAAAATATAATTATACCCTGCTTTAAGCAGAGTTTAAATATAATAAGATTTATATTTAAAGTATCTATACATTGTTCAAAACTCCAATTTGTATAAAAAGTATTCTCTGACAAAAAAATAATCAAGATGAGAACTAATATGTTTGAAAAGGATATTGTTAAATGTTAATATATTCAAGTTTATAAGCTTAATTATCAATTTCATATAAGAATAGGAAAAAGCACACATTCATCTTTGATAATCAGAAGAAATGGAATTAAAATATAATTATAGTACATGAACTAAATAAAATAATTTCCAGGCATTAAAGAGTGTTCTACAAATTGGTTGCACAACATTGTAAATGTACTTAACACTATGCACTCTGCACTTAAAAATAGTTAAGATGGTAATTTTTATGTTAAATGTATTTTAACACATTAAAAAAATTTTTTAATCGGTGTTACAGAAAATTTGTGGTTTTCCATTCACAAAATTATATGTACACTATTATTTAAATTAACACAGAAGTGTGTGTGTGTGTGTGTGTGTGTGTGTGTGTACAGAGATAAAGAGCCCAGACACTAGAGCCAGCCTGCAAGATCTGAATCTGGTTTTGCCACTTACTTTGTCACCTTGAACAACTTATTTCATCTTTCTGTGGCTGAGTTTCCTCATTGATAAAATGAGGCTAATAATTATGCCTATCTCATAAGATCATTGTAAGGATTAAATAAGCAAATACATATGAAAGCACTTCTTGAGTATGTGGCTCTGAGTAGTGTCATCTGCTATTATTAGTGTTATTTTGTGTGTGTATCCCTCTATGTGACAATATATTTTTTAGAATAAATGAAAAAAATCAAGCTACTTAGTGGTCAGTGTATAAAATAGAATTATCTTTTAATGATTGAGATTTCCCTTTTCAGTGAATGAATTAATCTAATAGGGTGATAGCAACTGATGGTACCCCCAAGAATATAGTACTTTTTAGCTAGGAGAAGAGACAGGAGGATATTTTGCAGTGCATTTATTTTCTTTGAAGCTTTTTGATTCTTGTGATAAGACTTCCCATGACATTTTCTTGCAGATTGCTTTTATCTGTAGTAGTAAGTTTTTAGACATAAAATATGCATTTATCTTATACTTCTGAACCTTTTTGCTCACTGCTGTTTGTTCCCTGACTGATAATGTACCTTTGCACCCATTTGTTAAAATCCAGCTTAAACGTTCTGTCAGTCCCTTCTCCAGCCTGCTTCACTGTTATTAGCCTTCCACTTTGTAGTTTCCAGAGCACTTATTATTGCTATTGTTCTTACAGAACAGTATGTTGAAACAATTAAAAACATGTCTGTCCTCTATTGTAGATTCCCAGTGAGATGGGGGGCCCTGATTTTTTAACCCTCACATTACCCACCACAGCATTTTGTTTTGTTTTGTTTGTTTTATTTTTTAAAGATTTTATTTGTTTATTTGATGGAGAGAGAAATCATAAGCAGGCAGAGAGGCGGGCAGAGAGGGGGAAGCAAGCTCCCCACTGAGCAGAGAGCCCGATGCGGGGCTCGATCCCAGGACCCTGAGATCATGACCTGAGCTGAAGGCAGAGGCTTAACCCACTGAGCCACCCAGGCACCCCAACCACTGTGTTTTGTGCGTTTTGTTTAGTTGTCTAATGGAGATCTTCAGAAAATAGTTCTTATTCTGGCTTTCTGAAAACTAGAGTTACAGGGTAGACTAGAAGTTAGTCAAAGTAGAATAATACATGTTACTGGTCTCTGGAAAAGTTTTAAATGTTTGTAATTTGCTGGTTTGTATTAGGTAAGTTTTAAGTAACAAATCCCAACTATGTTGTCCTGGATTCTGCATTAGGGATTGGTAAATACATAGATGAAAATGCACAGGGGCGCCTGTGGTGGCTCAGTCTGTTAAACTTCCAACTCTTGATTTCAGCCCAGGTCGTGACCCTCGGGGTCATAGGATCGAGCCCCAAGTCGGGCTCCATGCTAGATGTGCAGCTTGCTTAAGAGTCTTTCTTCTTCTCCCTCTGCCTCGCACCCCCTCATACCCTGCTTGCTCTCACACTTTGTTTCTCTCTCTCGCTAAAAAATGGAAGGAAGGAAGGAAAGATGGTTTCTGTCCTTGAGCAACTGTCAGTCTTAAGGGAAGATAGATATATAATCATTGGAGACTACTTTAGCAGCACCTGTACATAATGGAGGTTGAGAAGGGGAACAGTGAACTGTGTAGACGAGGAATGAGTGCTTATGTCTGCCTCTGCCTGGGGAGTTCACAGGAGAATACCCTTGCAGGAATTTGAAGGAAGAGTGGGAATTTGCCTACTGGACAAGGTAGGGAGACCATTCTGGGCAGAAAGAACAGTGTTTGCAAAGGCTTGAAGCAGTAAGAGGTCTTGTCATGTCTGAGAACAGGATTGGTCAGTCTTTCTGGAACAAGCCAATGTGGCTTTAAATGAATATAAGAATTGTTTTATAAAAACTGCTCTTTGGCTACATTATATTTGAAAAATAACTTAGATAATTAATGGAATAATTAAGTTTTTGCATATATTTTGCTTTAAATAAAGTTTAGTGACACTAAGAGTTGTCATAAATACTAGCTTGATTATTCTTATAAATAATGCTACTTGGGGGTGCCTGGGTGGCTCAGTTGTTAGGTGTCTGCCTTCGGCTCAGGTTATGATCCTAGCCCCTGCATTGGGCTCCCTGCTGTGCCAGGAGCCTGCTTCTCCCTCTCCAGCTCCCCTGTGCTTGTGTTCCCTCTCTCGCTATTTCTCTCTGTCATAAATAAATAAAAATATATTTTTTAAAAAATCATGCTACTTGGGGCGCCTGGTGGCTCAGTGGGTTAAGCCTCTACCTTCGGCTCAGGTCATGATCTCAGGGACCTGAGATCGAGCCCCGCATGGGGCTCTCTGCTCAGCAGGGAGCCTGCTTCCCCCCCCCCCGCCTGCCTCTCTGCCTACTTGTGATCTCTCTCTCTCTCTCTCTGTCAAATAAATAAATAAATATTTTTTTAAAAATCATGCTACTTGGAGAAAAACATTCTGGCATGTGAATGTATATGTATGTATGTTTATATTTGTGTATGAACAAAAGCATAGTCTGTTGATAGAGGTATTAAATAATTTGTTGCTCAGATAGATTGTTTTCCAGTGAGTTTTATGTCAGTGATTTGAGAGCATGGGCTTTGGAGTCAGGCCTAGTGGAGATTCCTGCTCTATCACTTGCCAATCTCTCTTAAGCTTATTTTCTCATAGAAATTGTTGTGAGAATTAGATAGGAAAATGCTTGTAAAAGCACTTAGTGTGGTGGTTGGCTGCTGTATGCGTACAGTAAATAATAGCTCTAAAATACTTCTTTAGCACTAAAAGCTCTGCTACAGTGCTGTTTCCAGTTAATTGAATTACCTGGCTAAGAACAACCTTTTAGTTCTCTAAAGTGTATCAGGGCACGTTCCCTGCATTATGACCTGGAGCATGGAAAAAATAGTTAGATTGTCATCAATAATTTAAGATGCCATAGTCCCTTGAGGCAATAATTTAACATCAGTTCTTATAGAGAACTGCCATCTACAAAATTGGGCTAGAATCTGACTCCAGAGCTACAGCAGCAGTCATTTAGGGGAGTTTTGGGTTTGCGTGTCTTTTGGTACTTTGTGCGTGTGTATTTTACTTCCTTTTAAAAAAAAATCCATAATGGGGCACCTGGGTGGCGCAGTCAGTTAAGTGACCAACTCTTGATTTTGATTCAGATTGTGATCTCAGGGGGTTGTGAGGTCAAGCCCCACTTCAGCCTCCCTGCCCAGTCTGT